CCCCGCATCGGGCTCCCAGCTCAGCGGGAAGCCTGCTTCTCCCTCTCCCTTTCCTTCTGCTTGTGTTCCCTCTCTCGCTGTGTTTCTCTCTCTGTCAGATAAATAACTAAAATCTTTAAAAAAAAATTGTCACCTATTGTTAAAAACACTGATAATGTTTACTTTTTTTTAATATGTTAATCTGAGCCAACAGACTAAAAATGTTATTAAAATACCAAGGATACAAGTAGAGTGTAACTCTTTCCACTCTTAAAAATAGCGTCTTGCTTTTCTCTAGGGTACTGTATGTGATATTATAATGCTCAGAATGTTTTGTATTTGTAGTAAACAGTATTGAATTCTGTTAGAAAATTGATTATTTGCCAGATGGATTTTGGCCTTTCATATTAAGTGTTCGCTAGATTTTAAGGATCTCTAAAAAGTGTTTGGTGTGTTAAATTTTATTTTTGTAAAATCAACAGGTTTATAATCCATTCTCATTACGCAGGATAAATGAATCGTTCATATTGTTTTTTTATGTAGTTTGTTTGAGTGTGGATAGGTTGTATAAACTGCTATCATCAAATCTTGGAACTTCAGAAGATACTTTAGAAATGCAGTTTCCTTGTTTTATGGATTAGGAGTCTGATCCTGCAGTGCACTGAGATTTTTCAGTTTCAGGAAAAAAAAATCTGTCTTTTGCTCAAGGATATACATTTTTTAAAAGAAAAAACACCACACTGTTGGAATAGATGTTGCAAGCAAGTATTGATATATGAAACCCTCATGAAGATATTAAATGCATTTTGCCATAGTAGAGTGTTCTCATTTCAGTCCAGTGGTACAGACCTGACTTTTTTTTTAAATTTTGCGAAGTCACTCCTTACTCTAGCAAAATGTAATACAAAATATCATCAGTAATTTTTTTATGGAGTGCCAAAGCAGTTATTCTTTATGCTTTATGAGACACACTGGGAAGGTATGGAGTTGAAGTGTATTGCAGTTGATCACGTTCTGTATTTACTATGGCAAAACCTGAGGTGACGTAGATTTGGAAGAAATGAGTTAAAAGGATGGGAAGTTGTCAGAACCAGATAGCTCGTTATCATCTTTCTAGAACCACATGGTCTTTCATCTCTGCTTTCAGACATGTCTGCTTCATTCTTCTCACCACGGATCAACTTTCGCTGCTTTGGCATGCTTATGACCACCAAGCAGACATGCACTTATTTGGCAAATGCTTACTGAGCACCTGTTACAGGCCAGGCACTATTTTATGCTTTTGGGCTAGGCAGGAAACAAAATAGACAAAATCCCTTATTTCATTGGGTTTACATTCTTTTGGCTTGGTAGGGGAGGAAGGGAAGACAGAAAATAATTATATGGCATAACTTATAAATGCTGTGGAGAACAGTAAATCTGTAGGGAATAGGAGTGCCAGGATAGGAGGATGGCGTTGCAGTTTTACATGTGGCAATGAAGGAGGGCCTCACTGAGAAGGAGCAAAGTAAGAGAGGGAGTTAGACATACTCTGTGGGCAGAGCATTCTAGGCAGAGACAATAGCCAGTGTGAAATCTTTAAGACAGGGGTATGCTGGGAATGTTTAATAACCAGGAGACCAGTGTAGCTGCAGTGGAGTGAATGAGTTGGGCAAAGAGGAAGTAAAATATGAGGTCAGGGAGATCATGGGGCCAGGGGGAGTGTAGAAGGGAAACAAGTAGGTAAGACTTTTACTTTTGTGAGATAGGGTTTTGAGCAGAGGTGAGGCATTAATTGTCTTGC